CAGGTCAGATGTTGTCACTGGAATGACACCTGAAACAGAAAAATCAAGTGTTGAAGGGTATTAAATGTCTTGTAATTTTGTTACCTCAGTGGGATGAATCTGGCCCAACATCCTCCAAGCTGTGTGCCAGTTCTATGGGATACTCACCAGCAAGGGGGGAGCTGTAGGTGCTGTGCTGTAAGGAACATATTGCAGCTTTCTCTGCATCATAAAAGCCTGCCTTGCTGCCATGGGTGCACTGAGTGAGGGGAATGAGATAGCCAGATGGAAAAAAAGTCTGAAAAAGAAAAATACAAACCCCTAGTAAGTAGAAAATGAAGTTTTTCTCCCAAGTTACATCCCCCTTGCCTTCTTCTTTATCCTCCACACCCCCAGATCCTATATTCTGTGCCTGTACCACCTTCTGTCTGAAATTAAATGGAATTGACTCAAGCACTCTTTAAGGTAAGACTGGCCTAATGTGCAGAAGACAGATGACTCAATTTCCAGCTGATATCCTCAGTGAGGAATTAGAAATCCATCTGGGAGTAACACAGTACAATTAGATTAGACAAAAGAGATCCTGATACTGAATACTACTTTTTTTTTTTTTTTTTTTTTTTTCCCAGAAGAAACATCTAGACCCAGTAATCATCATGTCACCTCATTCTTGGATTCTGTTTTTACTAAGACAAATATTGGAAGACATTTAAATTTGCATTTACAAGTTCTGGTTTTGTCATCAGAACTGTTCTTTATTCAGGCTTACTACAACAGTAAGTCTTAACTGCAGAAAAACAAATTTTCCTGATGAAATTTAGTGTGAGTATGTTGTGAATTAAGGTATTGGAGACTAAATACAGACAAACACAGGACTGGGGATATAAGGAATCTCAACATTGCCTTAATCTACTTAGTTTCATGATCTTCATCCCGATCGAAGCCTGAAAGTCACTTCATGTCCTCTTATTTTTGTACTTAATGCTGAAACAGAAGTCCTACATTCCTACAAAATAAGGTTTTAAAAGCACACTAAAAAGAATCCATCCAAAGGCAATCTATATATGTGTAGTTGAGGACAGTTCTGTTTATTTTGCAAAGATTCCAAGTGGTGTTTTCCCAGGCAAGAAGTGCTGTGGGGTCTGCCAGGGCTTACCTCGTGAGCAGGAA